GCTCCTGCACAGACTGTTTTGGGGTCGCTGCTGATGGAAAGGCAGGCTGAGTAGCAAGAGTCCTGGGCAGGAAGTCGGGGACCCCAGGACTGGAAACTGGCTCTGTGGGATCTCAGGATCCACTTTCCTTCTTTGAGCCTCCATAAAACTATGGAGTTGGATGAAACATCCTTGGGAGACTCTCTTTGGCTTGAATACGCTATAGCAATCTGAGGTGGCCGGCTTTCCCCAGGGCAGCCTCCTCTTCCTCTGAGCTCTCCCAGCCACCTGGGACTGTGCTCTGACCATGCAGGGAGACTGTGGCATAACTGGTCCCCTAGCTCCCTCCACCCTCCATGCCTTCTTGCATAATTCCATATGGAACCTCATCTGAGGCTAAAAGAAATAAAATGGAGGCTGGAGACGCTCCAGGCCAGGAAGCTGAACCAGTCTTCCTGGTTTTAACTCTGCAGCGGTTGTAGCCTCTGGGAGCCCTGGTCACCTACAGGCAGGCAACAGGAGGCCTTGACTGGCGTGCTGCTATCTGCCCCGGGGTGAGTGGGCAGGTCCCACTGCACTGGGATCAGAGACCAGAACAGCGTACCAGCTGACCTGAGTTTTCTGTACCTGCTTCCCTAGGCAGCCAGAGGACCCCTTGACAGGTCCTGGCTGGCCTAAGTGTATATGAACGACATAGCCTGGCTTCCACCCTCTTAGCCAGAGGCCCTGAGGAGGGGAGGAGGCGAATGCAAGGAGGCTGTGGGCAACTACAAGCAGATAGTCGCCTGGGCAAAGAGATGCTGGCATTTGCTGACTGAGGCTGTGCTTTGGGGTAACAGGTTGCCACAGAGAACCCACAGATGTTCAAAGGTCATGAAGTATCCTGTAAATACTTGGGTCTCTGCATTTGTCATAATGAGGTTTTATAGAAAATGCTGGCCAGCATGGGTGTCCTTTGCTGGGGCGGAGGTGAATTCGTCCTCTTGTGTAGTTGTGAGAGCCCGATTTCTCACGTGTAAATTCCTCAGCACATGAGAGCCTGTCATGTTTTTCTCAGGTGAACAGAATTTGGGATTGCCTTTTCTAAATTCACAGACAAATCCCTTTCGTAGGAAAAACAAAGAGTCTCTGAGACTGAGCCTTACAATGACTAGGCATTTCAAGTCACTTGCCAGAGGGGTCAAGGAGCCCATGGTGGTCCCCAGTCTGGCATCTCTTCCTGTAGCCCCTCCAAGTTTGTGCTTTAGATGGAGCTCATTAGGGCACAGTTCCTCATAGAATTAGGGCCACACCTGGCCCTATGTGACCAAAGTTCCAGGCCCAAAGAGGAGGGAGACTAGGGCCACACCTGGCCTTGATCCCTTCACTAGGTGCAGCCCACTTCAAGTCTTCAAGACCTCAAACTCTAGACCCTAGAAAGCGAAAGGACTTTTAATTGTCTCAAGTAATTCCTTAGAGAACCTCAGTAGACAAAAACTTTGCTATTTGGGAAAAAATAGATTTGGTATTGCATTTCTTCCCAGCTTTAGGGCATTCTGAGAGCTTTAGTTTCCCTTCAGAGGACAATTCCTCCAAAGTCACCTCTTCTAGGAAACCTTTCCTGATTCCCCTGAATAAGGTGTGGTCTCTCCCTCCTGGTACTTTGTTCCTCCAACACTAATAACCATCACAATGATAACAGTTATCTTTTGCTGAACACTTATGTGCCAGCCCAGCTGCTCAGAACATTCACTCATTATCTTATTTAATTCTCTCAACAACTCTATCTCATAAGTACTATAATTACCTCTGTTGGACAGGAGAGGAAATTGAGATCTAGAGACATGAAGTAACTTACCCAAGTCACCAGGGGGAAACAGCTCAGGGTCTGACACTCACCTGGCTGACTGACTCTGCACTGTGAACCAGTCACCATCCTGTTTCTTCTTGCACTTATCTATCTCCCTGAGCATGCCCCTTCTGCACATAACTGAAGCTGCTTCTTCCTTTGTTTTTCACTCTCGACTGATTTGGTATGTTTTCTTTTTTTTGAGTCAGGATCTCACCCTGTCACTCAGGCTGGAGTGCAGTGGCACAATGATGGCTCACTGCAGCCTCAACCTCCTGGGCTCAGGTGATCCTTCTGCCTCAGTCTCCTCAGTAGCTGGAACTATAGGCATGCACCACCACTCTCAGCTAATATTTTTTTCCTTTTTATAGATATGAAGTCTCACTAGGTTGCCCAGGCTGGTCTTCAACTCCTGGACTCCAGCAATCCTCTCACCTCCCTACCAAAGTGCTGGGATTACAGATGTGAGCCACTGTGCCCAGTCTTTGACTGATATTTTTTTGGTCCATCTTTATAAAGTTCTATGGTGAGGACCATCGCCCAGTATTGGTGTAAATTTACAAATTCTCTGAGCTGGGGCCCAGAGTGGGCAAAAGGACGAAGCCACCCAGTTATGGCTCTGTGGCCCAGTTTGTTTCTGGTGGGGTTAGTTTCTTCATGTCTCTGTTGCAGGGCTATAAGCTTCCCCAGGGCAAGAGTTCTCTGTCCTGTTGATTTATCAACACTGTCCCTCACCTGCTCTTCTGGGCACTAGTGCATCAGAACAAGGAGCTGCCTGGATCTCACATCTTGCCAGGAAGAGATAAGATTGCCTTTATCTCACTTGTCACACTTCTGTCCTTAGCCTGTGGGCCCGAGGGCAGAGCCCTGATGGGTAGTTGGGTCTCCTGGGAAGGCAGTTCCCTGCATCAGGCTTCAGAAGCTGACAGCCCTCTCTGCCTCAGCAGTTTCTGTTTCTGGGCTGTACCCCAACCTGCTGGCTAGCCCCCTTCCTTCTACCAAGTGGACTCACAGAAATGAGCTCTCTTCTTGAAACGCCTGAGGGAGGGTTGCAAAATGCCTGCTTATGAGGTTTACTGGCATCCTTCCTGGTTCCCAAGTTTTAGGGACTGCTCCTAAATCTCCAGTTTTCCCACTCTTGGCAAGAAGCATCCTACAGGTAGACTCTGCTTCGGGCTACAGGACAGCCTTCCATGAGTCCTTCCTGCCTTCTGCACCCAGGACCCAGTGCGCTAGGGACGTCTCAGGGCTATCCAGGTAAGGAATGCAGTCTCTCAACGTCTCAGCCTCTTCCCTGGCCAGCCCTGCCCATTACCTTGTGCAGAGGGGCCCTCCCACAGAGGTGGACAGGTGTAAGAAAGCCAGAATCCTCCTGCAGCCCTCCTAAAACCCCATGCAGACTTTTCCTCTCCTGCCCCCTCTGCCATAGCCTCTATTTTTGCTGGCCCAGCTAGCTGGCTGCCACCCTGTTGGCCTGCAGTTTGCTGGCGCTCAACAGTCTCTGCCATCTGACCCCCGGGGGGCAACAGCCCCTGCTCAGCTCTACATACACGGAGGACTCTGAGGCTCAGAGTCACCCTTTAAGAGGAAGCAGGAAATACTCCCACAGCTGGATCATCTGCCCCACCCTGGAACCAGGCATGAGAGACACCTATGGGCTCTTCCTGGCTCTGATCCCACGTGTCTCCCAGGATGGGGGCATTCTTGGTCAGCCTTAGGAGTTGTGTGCAGAGTGGGCTTTGCTCTGGATAGAGACCCCATCCACTGTTTCCTCCCTGTGCCTAGCAAGTCCAGGAGAGATCAGAGAGCTCACAAAGAGTCAGTCTGCCCTTGGGGCACGGAAAGGGCTATGTGGTCCTTGGGTGTCCCACCAGTGGCACTCTCAGGCTCATGGAGCTTCCACCCAAATCAGGTGCTTCCAGAAGGCTTTCTTCTGCGTCAACCCTCTCCTGACAAGGAACCCTTGTCACTAGGCTCCCAGATGCCATTCCTGAACCTGGTACCAGGATCACTGCCAGGGGAGTCTGCTTATGGATGGGGAGTCCTTGCTTGGCTCAAAGGTCTCAATCCCAGCTATATGAGCTCCCACAAGGCTGAGTCCCAGGCCCACCAGGCCAGGGAGCCACACAGACTTGAGCTTATCCTCTACTCCTGGATTCTGGTTCCCACCAGATCCAGCTTAAGGAAAGACCCCCAAACAGAAATGCAGAAACCACCAGGTGCGGTGGCTCATGCCTGTGATCCCAGCACTTTGGGAGGCCAAGGTGAGAGGATTTCCTGAACTCATGAGTTCGAGACTAGCCTGGGCAACTTGGCAAGACCTTGTCTCTACCACAAATCAAAAAATTAGCCGGGTGTGGTGGCACACGCCTGTAGTTCCAGCTACTTGGAAGGCTGAAGCAGAAGGATCGTCTGAGCTCAGCAGATGGAGGCTGTAGTGACCATGAGCGTGCCACTGCACTCCAGCCTGGGCTGCAGAGTGAGACTCCAATTAAAAAAAACAAAACAGAAATGTAGAAACCTCTGGCCATGGCACATGATGCCAGAGAAAGAATAATTGGGTGATGTGCTGCATTAGACCTGCTTCTTGGTGGGGTGCAGCACTTTTTAAACCCAAGCTCACCGGGCCTGATGTCCCTGGAGCTGACCAGGTCATTAACCCTGAAGCAGAGGCGGGGAGGCTGAGGCCTGTGAGGAGCGACCGTGATCAGCTGGCAGCCCCCTCAACCTGGTCTGACGCTGAGTTTCAGAGTCAGAATCGGTGCCAGGTCAAACTCAGCAAAAGGGTGTGACTTGGAGCCGAGGACCCAGCAATGCTCTATAAATATTTGTGGGATGAATACATATGGGGAATGTCCCAGAGGCAGTAAGGTGAGAGTGGCCTCATGTAGGGGTGACCTGGTGGCACTGGCTTGGCCCAGTAGCAGCAGGAAGTAAATGTAGGAACAATAGAAACCTGCATCTCTTGCTCTATCTAGGGAGCCAGAGGCCAGCTTGGATTGGACTGTTTCAAAATCAATCTGGAAAGGGGGTGGGAGGTCAGGTAGGGAGTGGGCTCCTTAGCCCAGGAACCCACAGCAGTGACGGAACCTGGAATTAGCCTCCCTGTCCCAGGTGGGGGCAGCGTCGACACCTGGGCACCCCCGTCCCTCATCTGGGAAGCCAGAGGGCACAACAGCAGTGGGGACCTTACCTTGGCCGCTCCTTCTGGGCAGCTGGGCCTCAAGCTCTCCCACTGCAGGCTGGTGCTTGTCTCTAACCCAGGAAGCAGCGCTCCCTTCAGGCAAAAAGGAAAAAAAAAAAAGAAAAAGAAGAAGAAAGGCTCAGTGCTTTTCTCACCCAGCTTCTTCTCCCAAAGATTCCTGGTTGGTGTCGTCCTGCCTCTGTGGGCACAGAGCCTCCGGCAGCTTATTCACCGGTGTGCCCGCGAGGCTGCCAGCTGTGTGGGGGAGGCTGGGGACATCTCCCCTCTGCCTGACACACACCAGGGCATGCCTGATGTGGGCCGGGGGCTCGAGGGTGGCTACTGCTGGGTCCTGACCACAGGGCAGCCATGTCTGGGCCAGCACCTTTCTCAGCAAACATTCCCCTGTGAGCTCAGCAGAGGAGGCACATGTGTGCTGACTGGCCCTGCATAAGACAGTGCCAGGATTTTTGGAAGCTGTTTCCTCGGTAGCCAGACCTGCCCAGAAAGAGGGGGCAGCTGATGTGCTGTCCGACTTCCTGGTGGTTGGCTCGCCTGCTTGGCCAGCCCCCCCACCCCACCCCATTACTCCCTACCTTGGCATCTTGCTGCATCTCTGTCCTGTGGACCCAGAGAAGGCTTGGGCCTGCCGGAGCTGGCAGCAGCTCCTCACCCTGCTCAGACCACGTGCCCAGCGTCCCCTCTCCCCGGTGCCCATCTCAGGGCCTGGGCCCACCCAGCGTCAATTAGAACGAACTGCTGTCAAGTCCCCACCCAGCTCTCTGCTGTTGCGAGCTGCTCTCCTCAGCAGGGACACGGCACACACACGGGCTTACACACGCTCACACTCACACACACGTGGGTCCACGCCCAGCGCAGAGCCACCTACCTGCCAGGTCAGCCTAAGCCAATCCAGCCTCGCTCTCCCAATGCCACTCCGACCCTAGAAGCCACTCCTTTACAGAAACATCCCCACGGGAGGTGAGTTCAAAGCCAGCCCGGGAGGACTCCAGTCGGCTGGGACAAGCCTCCCCTTCTCTCCTGACACCTCCGGAGGGCACAGGGTAGCCTACCACCATATCTGCGATGGCACTCTGCGGGCTGCCGGCGTCCCCCGGGCACCGCTGGCCCCCGCAGCGTCTTCCATATCCTTAGGGGGCGACGGCAGACTCACAGCAACTCCCATCTTCCTGGAGCCCGAGGTAGGGAGGGGAGAGCAAGAAGGGGCGGGACTCAGGTGCAGCTCAAGTTTCCAGCTCCCGAAATAATCGGATGCGAAGGAGAAGCCAGAAAAGCTCGGGGCGGGCGGTGACTCAGTGCCAGTGGGCCGGCTTAGTCACCTGGATGGCGGCGGGC